ATTGCAAACTGTCATAAATGTGGCCAGTTGACAAACATACAAAATGCAATCACATGACTGATGGGGGGGGAGAAACCAACAAAGGTCATTGGAACTTTAAATATGTGTTGTGCAGGTACTTCTTGGGGAGGGAAGGTCTGTAACTGACCAGTTTTAAGTTGAGAGCTACATGTACTTAACCAATACATTTCTATGTTTAGTATAGGAGACAATAGGGAGTCATCCTTTATTTATTTGATTTGTGTTCCATCTTTTTTAATATACATGTTGCTTCCTCTTCCTATTTTTCTCCCAAGGTATGATGTGCTGAGAAAGAGTGATTTGTTGAGAGTCTTAATGAGTTTCCATTGCTAAGTATAAACTAGAACCTGGGTCTCTCAACTGCCAGTCAAGCCTTAGAATCAGTGGTGCGATTCAGCCAGTTTGTGCCACTCCGGGAGAACCGGTTGTTAACTTTCTGAGAAGTTTGGTGAAGTGATTGTTGGAAGAAATCATTAGGGCAGAGAACCGGTTGTTAAATTATTTGAATTCCACCACTGCCTAGAATTACTGTACCCCATTAACTCTCATCATCCTAAACCACAACGTCATTCAGTTGGTTGTATCTAGGGGCACATCAAAACAAAAATCCATATCGCCCTCGTCTGCTCTCTTTCCTACAGCAGTATCTCCCTTTGCTTTTGCAATTATCTGATTTTGATTGGGGACCAGGGAAGGGCCTCAAAAGACTGGCTTCCCCAAGGTTTAATGAGCCTACTGAAATATTTCTTATGCGTTGCTTGGTCGGTAGAGGCAGGAGAAGCAGTCATTCCCTGGTCATACCTTGTCCTTGATTTTCAAAAGAGAGAGGGAGAAAAAAGGTAACCATAGTAGACTTCTCTAGAAACTCATCTGTGGGTGTGATCTTTAGGGCGTCTTGGAGGTCTCGCTAAGCAACTAGAATGAGCAGATAACATGAGATTCTCCCACTCGGTTTCAGAAAGAAAGTAACTTTGTAGAAGGTAGGTTAGTCCTGAACAAAGCAGGGCTACTGATTCCAATTTAAGAACTTTGGGGTGACTTTGATGTGCAGGGTGGACCTTGCCTGTTTTGGGAAGGAGGTTTGAGGAACTTGAGAAAAAGGTTTTGTAAGCTCCATTTCTGCACTAATACTAAGAAACTAAGTCATTAGTTTCTGGCCACTATGGCGAGATGGAGGGCTACTTGTTACACAAGCACCTGAAATCATTGCTCAGAAACACTTCTTTTATTCTTTATTTTTCCCTCTTAAACTTTCCTTTATCGATTTCCTTATTCCCTCAAGGGATCACAAAGGTGCTATAAGGCAGGTTAACATCTTGGGAATCAGAGCTGAAATGATGTCTTGAGATAGAAGCCATGGACAGTTAGGGAGCCTGAAAGTTGGATGCTTTAAAGGTGGACTTCACTAGAGACCTCAGGATGGGATGCCAACCCATTGTTTTGTCCATTCTTTGGGGTAACATGTCAAGTGCAGGAGAAATCAGAAGATTCAGACAGTTCAAATGAGTATAAAGATTTATTGCAAGCTTAAGATCTCTACAAGAATCTGAACTACTAACAGTCAAGGGAAATTAGCAGAAGTTAAGAATAGAAATAAATTCAGGGTGGGCTGGACTTAGAGCTCTTGTGGGTGTGCAGGAACTCATGACTGATGATGTGTTTGACCCTTCCCTCAGGCTCAGCCTGGTCATCTCCTACAGAATAGCTATAAAACAGTGTTANGTTACTGGATGGAGGAGGGGGTCAGAACAGGCTACAATGAAATTTCTGTAAATACCATGACAAAATAACAGAATAACAGAGTTGGAAAGGACCATAAAGGATTCCAAGTCCAACCTCTGTTCAATCAATTGTTCCTATAGAATTCTAGACAAACTGATACCTAATCACTACTTAAAAACACCCAATGATGGAACACCTACAACTTCCGGAGGCAAGCCAATTCCACTGATTAATTGTTGTCAACAAATTTCAATTTAGTTCTAAGTTGAATCTCTTATGATAAGTTTCTGTCTGTTACTTTTGACCTGCCTTTAGGTGCTTTGGAGAATGAGTTGATCCCCCTGTTCTGTGTAGCCACCTCTCATAGAGACACGTCTGTCGTGTCATCCCTAGTCATGACATGGTATTTCTATGCTATTTGATTTCATACATTATGCAGGTATTAACATAATTTAAAAAAAACTTGAAAATGCAAAACAAAATAGACAGGAGTCCGGATAACAAGGAACACATCAATGTCCTTTAATCTCAGCATGTTGCTCACAAACCCCTCATATTGTTCAGCTCTGAGTATAACCTTTAGACCCATCTGGGGACCTCCTTAAAACTTTGCCTTCTTCATCCCTCAAGGGAAAGAAGCAAGTTGCACTTTTAATGATTCCCCACAGAATTCACATCTCTTCGAGTTGTCTACTGTGATTCCTTAAGTGTTGCCTGAGCCCAGATCCTTAAGCTAGGATGTTGTTGCATTTTGTAGATCAATCTATATGTTGTTGAGAAGATGGTCCTCTCAGAGCAGCCGATCCTTTTCTGGTAGAAAGAGGTTGCTTCCTCTCTTCAACCTTGTTGCTGGTAGGTATCACTAAAACTTTATTAATCACAATAAATGGAGCTGTGAATCATTGATATCAGATACGCCTTTATTTCCCAATAGCCGTTTACCTCACAGAGAATGTTCCATGCATGCAGTAGGAAATAACTGTCTTTAAAAGTTTATTTATTGGAATTTATTAAACAAAAATGAGAACAAGAGTTAGAGGAAAAATACAGTGACAGGGACAATGGGCACATTAATGCACTTATGCACACCCCCTCTGCTGACCACTTAAATATGAATTGGGTCCACGGAAGTCAAACTGTGACTGAAACTGTGAAAATGTGTAGCTGAGACAACTGAATCAGGTAGAGCATTCCAGACTTTGACAACTCAACTACACAAATCATATTTTTACAGTCAAGTTTAGAATGGCTTATATTGTGTTTAAAGCGGCTGTTCGTACATGTATTATTGCGATTAAAACAGAGAAAGTCATTTACATGTAAAATATCACTACATATATTGTGTACGGAAGAGTGCAAGACTTTTCTCGTGAAATACTTCTGAACCCGCTCATTTGTACTGATGTCGGATATATGGTGGGAATTCCAAACAGTTGAACAATACTCTAAGGTTGGTCTAGCATACGTAAGTTTTATAAGCTCTTAATTAGCAATACAATGTTTCCAGGGAAAAAAGCTTCCCAAAATTAAGCTTACAACTCTTAAGGCTTTTTTTAGCAACAGGGAGCTGTGGAGCATAACTCGTCAGAGATAAGTACACCCAGGTCCTTATCAAAGTGAGAGTCAGCTGCTAGATCAATGCCACTTAGTTTATACTTGACATCTTGATTACATTTACCAATATGTAAGACAGAGCATTTATTAATTGAAATTTGAAGTTGCCAAATAGATGACCATTCAGAGACATAGTTGAGATCACTTTGCAAAACAACATAATTATTTGTATTTGTTTATTTCCCAACTCTAATCTCTCCCCATGAAATAATTGCCTTATTCTATGAGGGTACTACATAAATGTAAACCAGAAGGTCACATCATTGCAAATATAATGAAAGTTCCAAATATAGTGGGGATGGGGGAATTGTCACAATTCTATCAACATTTAACACAACGTTTAAAAACTGAATTGCTTACTATCTACTATAATATTGTCCTTTTCTTTTTGTTTCTTCCCCTCCTCTTCCATGGTTTCTGTTTGTTTTTGGTTTTTTTCTTCTTCCTTTATTTCAGTAAATGCTTCCCAGGGAACCTACCTTTCATAAAGTAGCAGAAGGTAAAGTTATTGGAGACGTCCTTAGTTTATGTTGGTCCTTTGTCTTATTAATTCAGTTGATCAGTTTCTTATTTCCCTCTCTTTTCCCCACCATTTATTCACTTCTTTCTGGGTGTTTCTTTTGTATCCAGAAATTGAACACTGGAACAAGAGTGGTTGAATCTGTGATGGTAGAGTCACCTTCTGCCCTATTTCACCCACCATCTATGGGAATGAAGAACAGTTCTTACGTGACTGAGTTCATACTGATGGGTCTGTCTCATGAACGTGGCATCCAGCTTTTTCTCTTTGCTCTCTTCCTCATCTTTTATCTCATTGTCTTACCAAGCAACGTGCTGATTATTATTACCATCCGAGGAGATGCACACCTCAACTCCCCCATGTATTTTCTGTTAGCCAACTTGGCTTTTTTGGACATCTGGTATTCCTCCATCACTGCACCCAAGATGTTGGTTGACTTCTTCGCCGAGCGCAAAGTCATTTCTTTCGGTGGCTGCATTGCTCAGCTTTTCTTCCTCCATTTTGTGGGGGCTGCAGAGATGTTCCTACTCACCGTCATGGCCTACGATCGCTATGTTGCCATCTGCAAGCCTTTGCATTACTCAGTCCAGATGAGCCGAAGACTTTGCATTGTATTAGTGGTGGCTTCCTGGTCTGGAGGTTTTATCCATTCCTTGATCCAGGTTGTGCTGATTATCCGCCTCCCGTTCTGTGGGCCTAATGAACTGGACAATTATTTCTGTGACATCACCCAAGTGCTGAGGATCACCTGTAGTGATTCCTTCAGGGAGGAGATGGTCATGATCTTCAGCAGTGGCCTGATTTCTGTGGTCTGCTTTGTGGCACTGTTGATTTCCTATGCCTTCTTGCTGAGTGTGCTTAAGAAGAATGTGGGCGAATCAGCTAGCAAAGCTCTCTCCACCTGCTATTCTCACATCACCATTGTCGTTTTCATGTTTGGTCCTGCCATCTACATCTATGCCCGTCCTTTTGATGAATATGCACCCGATAAAGTGGTCTCTGTCTTCCATACCATCATATTTCCCCTTCTCAACCCCATCATTTATACCCTCCGGAACAAGGAAATAACAACCGCCATGAAAAAGATGGTTCTCCAGTACCTCCTCTGCAGGAAACATGTAGGATGATGTCTATGGATATTCTCAATCATCCAGGCCATGGTTGTCCCAAAGGTGCTTTTTCAAGAGCCAACCAGGACTTTCTGGAGCTGAAGAAGCTTCTTGGATGAGAAGCGAAACATCTTCAAAGAAAAACCAGAAAGTCCAGTTGTCAGGCCTGCAGCGGTTCCTTTAAGAATCTTTGGCCTGCCACACTCTTATTAAGNACCCTCATGGCCTACGATCGCTATGTGGCCATTTGCCATCCACTGACATACACAATCAAGATGAACCGTCCACACTGCGTTAGACTCTTGTGCTTCTGCTGGGCTGGAGGACTCCTTCACTCTGGCAGCCAGTTGCTCCTGGTCCTGCGACTGCCATTCTGTGGGCCAAATGAAGTGGACAATTTCTTTTGTGACGTTCCACAGATTGTCAAGCTGGCTTGTGTTGACATCCGAGTGACTGAGATACTCATGGTGGCCAACAGTGGTCTGCTGTCCCTGGTGTGCTTCGTTATCTTGCTGATCTCCTATGCCATCATCTTGACCACACTCCAAGGACATTTCAGAGAGAGTGGAGGGAAAGCTCTGTACACCTGCAGCTCTCATTTAATAGTAGTCAGCCTCATTTTTGTACCATGTCTTTTTGTGTACCTTGTCCCACTGTTTAACACCAGTGTGGATAATCTGGCATCCATATTCTACACAATAATCACTCCTCTTCTCAACCCCATCATATATACCTTGAGAAACCGAGATATGAGGGAGGCTATGAGCCAAGTGCAGAAAAAATACATTTGTCCCATTGTTGCACCACAGAAGAAAATATGAGGAATTGGACAACAATTTTTTTTTGGGGGGGAGGGGGCTGATGGTTCTCTTTTGTTATCTTTTCTGAACATTGCAGGTGAGTATTTCTTGCAGATATGGCAACCCATCTGGTTTTTAAAAAAATTAATCTGTGCAATTTTAATGCTTTCATATTTTTATTATTTTTATATTTGTTTTAGAACCTGTAGGTTGCCCTGAGTCACTTTATAGGGGAGATGAGTGGCATAGAAAATTTAATTAACAAGCAATCAATCAACCAAATAAGCATACAACAAATCCAGAGTCTCCTGGACTCTGTCAGACGGAGCAGATTCAGGGTTTTCTAGAAGTATTTTCCTCGCTTGGAGAATTAGAAATTAGTCATGAGAAAACTGTTTGCTGGAAGTCATCATAATTTTTAAAATATATTTCATTTATTCACAATATTGATATGCATGTAGAATTATCTAGGTGTTGCAAATGATATCTTAATAACAATAATTCAATAAAACAGTATCATTCATCTTTACCTAAATGTGTAATATTCATTTGTTCATATACATTTCCTGGCAATCCTAGGTTTCATTAATAGAGGAAATAGAATCAAGATCATATGAAATTCTAACAACACTTTATAAAACCTTAATAAGACCATGCGTGGGATAATGCATCTAGTTCTGGTCACTACAATATTAAAAAAAAGTGGTTGAAACTCTGGAAAGAGTGCAGAGAAGGGCAATAAAGATGATTAGAGGGCTGGAGGCAAATACATAAATAAAAAGAACAGTTGCAGGAATTTTATATGTCTAGTCAAGTGAGAAGAACGACTAGTGGAGATGTGATAGCAATATTCTAATATTTGAAGTGCTCCTAGAAAGACAAATGGGTCAAACTATTTTCCAAAGCACCAGAGGGCAAGGCAAAAAACAATTGATGGAAACAATCAAACAAAAAAGAAGCAACCTAAAACTAAAGAGAAATTTCCTAATAGGGAGAGCAATCAACTAATGGAATGGCTTGCCTTCAGAAATGGTTGGTGCTCCAGTACTGCAGGCTTTCAAAAAAAGATGGGAGTGAAAACCATTTGTCTGAATTGGAACAAGTCAGGCCTTTCAAACTGGTGGCCCCCTGGGGCGGAGGCATCATGCACAGGTCACACCCACCCTGCAAGGGCAAAAAAATGTTGTGATATGGCACAATATGTCACATGATGCAATTGAGTTTGACAACCATGGACATAGCTTGTCCTGCTTGAGTAGAGGATTGGATTTTAGATGACCTCCAATGTCCCTTCCAATTGTGTTGTTTTTTTCATTCTATGTTAACATTCTGCTTTGCAATACCAAGAAGAGACTTATTGTCTATGGAGATTCTAAGTCATCCAGGTCATAGTTGTCCCAAAGATGCTTTTTCAAGAGGCAACTGGACTTTCCTTGAAGATGTTTCGCTTCTCATCCAAGAAGCTTCTTCAGTCCTGCAACGTAGTTCCAAGAAGGCTCCACACCCATTTTTACCACTCAGTTGACCCTGATGACACAGATAAACCTACAGGGGGGATCTTAATGACTCACTTAAAGAATGCAAATGACCAGCTGTCTGCAAGGAGTATAAATCCTTCCATTCCCCACTATCCAGAGAGCTGAAGAAGCTTCTTGGATGGGAAGTGAAATGTCTTCAACGAAAAACCAGAAAGTCCAGTTGCCTCTTGAAAAAGCACCTTTGGGGCAAGAAGAGACTTGTCATGCAAAGTCTGAACCCTTGACTCTAACAGACCTTTCAGAAGATACTTAACCCTGAATGCCAAGGATAATTTCTTTGGAAGGTCATTCCATAACTATGGGACCATTCCCAAAAGGTCCTGTTCCTCATGATGCTCTGAATGTGTGTGTGTGTGCGCGTGTGCACACACATCTCAAATCAGTTTTGACTCCTGAGGAACTACATGGGCAAGACCATAGTGGGGTTTTTTTGACAATATTCTCAGAAGTCATTTGCTATTTCCCTAATTGGGTCAAAGTCATCCTATTGGCTCCCATGTCTAAAGTAACACTAGCTTGGGTATCCCTTTCTCTCAGAGATACTCAGCTCAAGACAGTCTTCTCCAGGCCAGAGCAAGGCTATCTCTGCTTGTACATCTCATATCATGATAGTAACCCTGAGTTTTGATTCCTTGCATCTACATTTATCCCCATCCTTTCTGCAGCTTTCCCTTGGATAAAGCAGTTTCTGTTCTCTACAGAATCACCACACTTGTCCTGAATCCTTTCATTTATACTGAGGAACCAAGATTTGAAAGTGGCTTTGGAAAAGCTCAAGGAAAATTTACCCTCTGTCTCTAGACATGTCCTTTTCATTCAGGAAAGTTCAATTACTTTGATTAAAATGAAGTGAAGGGTAGATACATTTCATGGGAGTGTTAATAGCCAATACCTTTAAGTCCGCTGCATGAAAAGTCATTGGGATCCACCTAAATTGTTTTCTATTTGAAAGGAAAGTGAGCAAGAAGTGCTATAAACTTTCCATTTTCCAGCATGTCTGGTTGGAGAATTCTGGGAGTCAAAGTTCTTAAAGTTGCCCAGTTAAGAATCTGTGATGTAGACATTCTATGCACCAAATCAAGGGAACTGCTGCTTATCAAAGCATATGCTTTAAAAAAAAGAAAAGAAATTGCTAGTCAGAAAACCTGCTACCAAACTCCTGATTTTCTTTTGACACCACAGGCATGGGTCTCCACCTACAAGGAAAGCTCATGATTGAGTGTAGATGCAGCATTATTAGGAAAGAAGGATGTATATTGTCCTTGCTCTGTTCTTAATTGTCACTGAAATGAGTTAAGGTAAAGGTTCCCCTTGCACATATCTTCTAGTTGTTCCTGACTCTAGGGGGCGGTGCTAATCTCCATTTCAAAGCTGAAGTGCCAGCACTGTCCAAAGATGTCTCATTGGTCATGTGGCCAACATGACTAAAGGCCAAAGGTGCATAGAACGCTGTTATCTCCCCGCCAAAGGTGGTTCCTATTTTTCTACTTACATTTTTTAACTGTGTTTTCAAACTGCTAGGTTTGCAGAAGCTGGGACAAGTAACGGGAGCTCATTCCGTTACGCGGCACTAGGGATTCGAACCACTGACCTTCTGATCGACAAGCTCAGCTTCTTAGCCACTGAGCCACCACATCCCTACTGAAATGAGTTACTTTCTCACAAATCCAGAGGCAGGGAAGAAATACATTTGGCTCACAGAGTTATGTACATGTATTTACTTAGTCTATTTTTTCCAAACCAATACACTTGAGGCCTCTCATTTGCCTTTTTCTGTAATTTGAAGGAAAGAGGTGTAGTGGTTAGGGCACCAGGGTAGAAACCAGGAGACTATGAGTCCTAGACCCACTTGAGATGGAAAGCCATCTGGGTGACCTTGGGCCAGACACTTTCTCTCAGCCCTAAAAAGAAGGCAATGACAAACCACTCCTGAAAAACCCTTCAGTGGCCGATAAGATTTCCCAGACATTACTTACAATATTGGCCTGGCCATCTCAATAGAAGTATTTAGCCAGCTTTATTATCTAAGCAGGGGTGGGCCTAGTTAGTATTGAAAAGGTAATCAGCAATAAGCAGTAAGATAGTGTTTCCCAAACTTTTGACATATGTGTACTCCTTCTATAATTTTCGTAACGCTGAGTACCCTTCATAAAAAACATATGCTTTAATAAAAATTAAAATATATTTATTTTTTCTTTTTTTGGTACATACGCAAAATAAACGAAAGTTATATTATAAAGAACATTTATTTGATTCAATGAGAAGGATGAA